ATCTATAATAATGTGCCGAGTTTGAAAGTTGGTTGTTGAAAATTTTGATACCACATCTTGTATTGGTAGAAAAATTAGGATGAGCGAAATTCCAAATGTCCTGAAACGGCTTTGGTTCAAAGAGACCTAGATCCTAAAAGCGTTGTTTCGATGAGACACATTCTGACTGTATCAAATGATATATACCCCCGTTAGCCATATGAGGGTATAAAAAGCAAACACATAATTTATGCTATAAGTACCTAAATTTTGAATATTATTTTCATTCAAAACTATTGTACCTAGATATTAGGTTTATTCTGAGATTCATAGCGAAATTTTGTGTAGAATATTTCCTTTTTTGTCGAACAGTGTAATTCTTAAAAAAATATTTTCTCAAATTTGTTCTTTAAAAAGGGAAAAAGAGAATATTTTTACAAAATCCACCAAAGATTTTTTATTTTATCTTTTACAGTTTCCAATCCGCTCTGCTTCCTATTAAAACATAAAAGTCTTAGCCATAGTACCTTGTCTAGCAAAAAAGTGAAACCTCCACATAATTCATTTCCCATTAAATTAGCCTCGCTTTGATGTTGATGGACAAATATTTATTTCCTTTCAGGCCGATGTAAAAAACATTTTTTTTTTTTGTGAAGTTTGCCAAAATCAGATCTAATTTTGTCCACAACAGAATGTTAAGTAACTTCAACAATACTTCGTCCAATGCTTGTTTACTTTTGTCACACACAAAATTTTTTTTGGTTGTTTTTTTTCGAAATGTCTAAAATAAACATCGATTTGTGATGCTTCAACACGTTGAGTGTGAAATCGATAGAGATGTGTGAAGTTTTTGTTTTTCGGTTTCGGACTGACAATTGATGGCAGAGCTTTAAAGGAATGAAATCTTATTTGACAACAGCAATTGGATTCATTACATTTTTTTTTCGATTTTCCACAAAAATTTTTTGGAAATAATTCATAATCAAATTATTTTCAATTTTTTTTCTTAAAAAAATATATTTTTGAATTTAAAAAAAAATAATAATTAAATAAATTTCTTGCAAAAAAAATATATTTAAAACTTTTTATAAAAACAACAATAAAGGGATAAGCCTGACCATTTTGCAACAACAAAATACTACGGTATCCCGAACAAACAAGCCACACTGTTCTATTTAAAACTTTTTCAAAATAATTTAATTGAAATATTTTTTTTTTAATTTCCAGAATAATTTTTTTTAAATTGAAGCTGTTTTTATAAAAATTATTTATTAAAATTTGAAACATTATTTCGAAAAAAATATATAATCAAATTATTTTCAAAATAGTTTTTTCTTTCATAAAAATTGGTCTTCAAAATTTTCAAAAAAAAAAAATAAAAAATATTAAAAACTTTTTTTCAATATTTTCAAAAAAATAATATTTAAAACTTAAATTGAAATACTTCTTTTAAAATTTCCACACAAAAAATATTTCCAAAATTGCACATGCTTTTATTTCAAAAAAATTATTTTTAAAAAATTATTTATTATTTTATTTCATAAAAATTATTTTTAAAAATTTCAAAAATTATTTGGAAAAGAGAGAAAAAAAATATATTTCATAAAAATTATTTTTCAAAATTTCAATAATAATTTGGAAAAAAAACAGTTCATAATCAAATTATTTTCAAAATATTTTTTTCATAAAATTATTTTTCAAAATTTCCAAAAAAAAGGACAATAATCAAAAAATTTTTTTCAAATATTTATTTTTAAATTTCCAGAAAAAATATTCCCAGAATTGCACCTATTATTATTTTATAAAAATTATTTTTCAAAATTTCAAAGATTAATTGGAAAAAAGTTTATAACCAATTATTTTCAAAATATTTTTTCATAAAAATTATTTTTCAAAATTTCCAAAAAAAAATAGAAAATAAACAAAAAAAAAAAAATCTTTCAAATATTTAAAAAATGTTTAAGCTTAAATTAAAATATGAAATATTTTTGAAATCTCCAGAAAAAGTTTTTTCCAAATTAGCACCCGTTTTTATTTCATCAAAATTATTATTTTTCAAAATTTCAAAAATTATTTGGAAAAATGTTCATAATCAAATTATTTTCAAAATTTTTTTTTTTTGTCGTAAAAACTATTTTTCAAAATTTCCAAAAAAAAAGGACAATAATCTAAAACATATACTTTCACATATTTAAAAAATATTTAAAACTTAAAATGAAATATTTTTTTTTGAAATTTCCAGAAAAAGTATTTCCAAAATTGCATCAATTTTTATTTCACAAACTTATTATTTTTCAAAATTTCAAAAATCATTTGGAAAAAAGTTCATAATCAAATTATTTTCCAAATATTTTTTTCATAAAAATTATTTTTCAAAATTTCCAAAAAAAAAATAATCAAAAAAAAAATTGTTTCAAATATTTAAAATTTTATTGAAATATTGTTTTAAAATTTCCAGTAAAAGTATTTCCAAAATTGCACCTGTTTTTATTTCATAAAAATAATTTTTCAAAATTTCAAAAATTGTTTGGAAAAAAGTTAATAATCAAATTATTTTCAAAATATTTTTTTCATAAAAATTATTTTCAAAATTTTCAAAAATTTAAAAATTAAATTTAAATTTTTTTTTTTGTAAATTTTCAGAAAAAGCATTTCCAAAATTGCACCTTTTTTATTTCATGAAAATTATTTTTCAAAATTTTCAAGAAAATAATTAATAATGAAAAAATTTTTCAAATATTTTCAAAAAAAATATTCAAAACTTTTTCATAATTGTTAAATTGAATTTTTTTTTAAATTTCCAAAGAATGTGTTCTTTTTTTCAAAATTGCACCTTTTTTTATTTTTTATTTTTTAAAAATAATTTTTCAAAATTTCAAAAGAACATAATTAAAACAAAAAAACAATCTTTCAAATATTATCAAAAAAAAATATTTAAAGCTTTTTCAAAATAATTAAATTGAAATATTTTTTTTTAATTTCCACAAAAATATTTCCAAACTTGCAGCTGTTTGAAAACGCATGTAATTTTTTTTTTTTCAAAACCACCTCAGCTGATTAATGCAAATAACCATAAACGTCAAAAATTGTTACCAAATTTTTATGCCAACAAATAAATCACAAGACGTACAACAACAACAATGCCAAACAAAATTGTATAATAAAATTGCATTAAATTAAAACGCAGACAAAGTAGAGACAGCAAACAAATCCATCTGGCATGACAAACATAGTCACAAACACACGCACACCAACTCATGGTGAGCCACTCAATAAAAGCCGCATTAAAATTCGCACAAAATTTGAATTTCAATTGCAGTTGTTTATTTTACATTTTGGAAAATTTGAAATTCGTTACGTTTAGTTTTTTTTTAGGTGACTACATTTGTTGTATGTTTTGAGCCTTACTTGGAACCTAGGAAATTGCCGGTGCGGAATTTTAAATGTGATTTGACTGCATACCAAAAAAAACGGGCAAATAAGTCGTAATAACTGTTGGATAATTGAATTTGCCAAAGCATTCACATAAATATTCAAAATCGAGAAAAAATTCACTTATACATATAAATTTCAAAATCTATGCTGTTAGTTATAGAGGACAATATTTACGATCCGACCAACCAACAATGGAGTATATAGCATATATAAAAGCTTTGAAACAGTCGAAAGCAGTTCTTGAAACAGAAGACCTTTTAAAGCACTTCTAGGGAGAGAAGAGCTTCTAAAGCTATTCTATGGTAGAAGAGCTCTACAGAACTTCTATGGCTAGAAGAGCTCCTAAAGCTCTTCTATGGCTAGAAGAGCTCCTAAAGCTCTTCTATGGCTAGAAGAGCTTCTGTAGTTCTGCCCTAGCTATAAGAGCTACTAAGGCTCTGATCTAGCTAGAAGAGCTTCTAAAGCTCTGCTCTGGCTGGAAGAGCTTCTAAAGCTCTTCTGGGCACAGAAGACCTTCTGAAGCTCTTCTGGACACAGAAGACCTTCTGAAGCTCTTCTGGACACAGAAGACCTTCTGAAGCTCTTTTGGGCACAGAAGACCATCTGAAGCTCTTCTGGGCACAGAAGACCTTCTGAAGCTCTTCTGGGCACAGAAGACCTTCTGAAGCTCTTCTGGGCACAGAAGACCATATGAAGCTCTTCTGGGCACAGAAGACCATATGAAGCTCTTCTGGGCACAGAAGACCATCTGAACCTCTTCTGGGCACAGAAGACCTTCTGAAGCTCTTCTGGAGACAGAAGACCTTCTAAAGCACTTCTGGACACAGAAGACCTTCTGGAGCTGTTTTGGACACAGAAGACCTTCTGAAGCTCTTCTGGACACAGAAGCTCTACTGAAGCTCTTCTGGACACAGCTCTTCTGAAGACAGAAGCTCTTCTGGAATGCACTTTTACAGAATTTTTTTTTTCAAGGACCTAGATATCCGTAAACGAGGATTATTAAAGATTTTTTTCTAAAGCACCTAAGGATAATGAACGAGAATTTTTTAAGAACTTTTCTCAATGACCAGGAGTCCCATAAACGAGAATTTTTTTAAGAATTCTACTTAAGGACCCAGAGAACTTTTATCGTGGATTTTTTAAAAAATTTTCTGAAGGACCCAAAGAAGTTGATTTTCAAAGATTTTTTTCAAGGATCCAAAGACTATGTGGTTTTCAAAAAAGGACTTTTGCATATTTTTTTTTTTTTTTTTCAAAAAATTCTCAAAATTGTTGAGAATTTTTTCCAAGGACACAAGGAGCCTTAGTCTTGGATTTTTTAAGCATTTTTTCATGGACTCAGAGACTCATACACGTTGATCATTTAAATATTTTTTTACAAGCACTCAGAGATCCACAAACTTAGAAGCTATTCTATGAAAAGGATACCTCCCAAAGGTTTTCTCTATGGATTTTTTTACCTATAGACCTTTAAAGATTTTCTATAGGTGTAACCACTTGTCAAGCTAGAATTTCTTCCGGGGCTCTTAGTAAGTTTTAGGTTTTTAGTTTCTTTTTTAATTGCAATATTTTCTCTTCGTACTCACCTCCACCGCTTTGCGGCCCATCTGCCGTATCCCAGGACCAGCCATTATAACGTTTATCCTGATAATTATAACTCAGACCCTTAATATAGGGACTATTGTTGTTGTTATTTCTATCACTCAAATAACCCGGATCATATTTGCCTCTCCCACCACCACCCCCAGCATCATCACGATATCCCAATTTCTTTCTCTTCATGGACGCTCTCTCCAGCGTACGTTCAAAATCACTGCACACCTCATCGAGCGCATCACGTAAAAATGCCTTTGTTTCCGGTGGGCTGTTGGCCGGACGTCTGATGGGATAGGGAGCCTGATCACTTTCAGCACCACGATATGACGAACAGGTGGATGAGGCTGTGCCAAACGGTGACTCTGAACGGGGATAGGGTGTGGGTGTTGTTGAGCCATAACGGGGCACTGACGAGGATCGTTGTCTAGGAGGTTGGTGATATTGATAGGTGGTGGAGGTGAAGGATGGTGTACGCTGCAAACTGGCAAAGGGGGAGTCGGGTTCACTTTCGTGGGGAAGCTGGAAAAAAGAAAGAACCATTATTTATTTTTTTTTTAATTTTTTGATTTTATTTTTTTATTATTATTTATTTAATTTTTTTTTTTTGAAAGGGAGATAAATTATTTATTTTTTTAATTATTATTTTATTAGATTTTGAGAAAAGAAAATAATTATTTTAATTTTATTGTTATCATTATTTTGTATTTTATATAATAAAATAATTTTGAAAACATAAATAAATAAATTTATTTACTTAATTATTTTTTTGTTTATTTTTTGAAAAAAAGGAAAAAAACTTATTTAATTTTCTTTAATATTTGTTTTATTAATTTTGAGAGAAGAGTAAAATTATTTTGAATTTTATTTTAAATTTTATTTTTTCAACTTCTATTTATTTATTATTATTATTTTTTTTATTTATTTATATTTTTGGAAAAAAAGGTTTTAGTTGTTATTTTATTAATTGTTGAGAAAAATTGTTTTAATTGTAATTATTTATTTTTTTGGTTTTTTGAGGAGAGATTAATTTTAATTATTTAATTTTTGATATAAGAGCATTTTTATTGTTTTTTTTTTTTTTTTTTTTTTTAAAAAAAAAGGATATGAATGTTTATTTTACTTATTATTTCAATAATTTTTGAGAAAAATTTATTTTATTTTTATATTAATTTTATTTATTTATTTGTTTTTTTTTTTTTTTTTTTTTTTGAAGAGATATAATTTATTTAATTTTTATTTTATTAATTTTTGTGATAAGAGCATTTTTATTTATTTATTTATTTATTTATTTTTTTTTTTTTTTTTTTTTTTGAAAAAAGGATGTGAATTTTTTATTTTTTAATTGTCATTTTATTAATTTTTGAGAAAAATTATTTTAACTTTATTTATTTATTTATTTATTTATTTATTTTTTTTTTTTTTTTTTTGAAGAGAGATTAATTATTTAATTTTTGAGATAAGAGCATTTTTATTTGTATTTTTTTTGGGGAAAGGGTATGAGTTGTTTTTTTAATTGTTATTTTATTAATTTTTGAGAAAAATTTATTTTATTTTTATTTTAATTTTATTTATTTATTTATTTATTTATTTTTTTTTTTTTTTTGAAGAGAGATAAATTATTCAATTTTTATTTTATTAATTTTTGAAATAAGATCATTTTTATGTTTTTGGAAAAAGGGGAATGAATTGTTTATTTAAATAATTTTTGAGAAAAAATTATTTTATTTTTATTTTAATTTTATTTATTTATTTATTTTTTTTTTTTTTGAAGAGAGATAAATTATTTAATTTTATTTTATGAATTTTTGAGATAAGAGATTTTTTATTTGTACTTCTTTTTTGGAAAAAAAGGAGATGGATTGTTTATTTTTTAATTGTTATCTTATAAATTTTTGAGAAAAATTTATTTTAATTGTATTTATTTATTAATTTATATATATATATATATATATATATATATATATATATATATATATATATATATATATATATATATATATATGTATATATATATATATATATATATATATATATATATATATATATATATATATATATATATATATATATATATATATATATATATATATATATATATATATATATTTTTTTTTTTTTTTTTTTTTGAAAAGAGACAAATTACTTAATTTTTATTTTAATAATTTTTGAGATAAGAGCATTTTTATTTGTTTTTTTTTTTTTTTTTTTTTTTTGGGAAAAAAGGATTTGAATTGTTTTTTTAATTATTATTTTATTAATTTTTGAGAAAATTTTATTTTATTTTCATTTTATTTGTTTTTTTAAGAGATATAAAATATTTAATTTTTATTTTATTAATTTTTGAGAAAAAATGAATTTTTTTATTGTTATGTTATTTGTTATTATTTTATTAATTTTTGAGAAAAAATTATTTTATTTATTTATTTTATTATGAGAGATAAATTATTTAATTTTTATCTTATTATTTTTTGAGATATTTATTTATTTATTTATTTATTTTTTTTTTTTTTTTTTTGAAAAAAAGGAGATGAATTGTTTAGTTTTTAGTTGTTATTTTATTAATTTTTGTGAAAAATTATTTTAATTTTATTTATTTATTTATTTTATTTATTTATTTATTTATTTATTTTTTTTTTTTGAAGAGAGATGAATTATTAATTTTTTATTTTATAAATTTTTGAGATAAGAGCATTTTTATTTTTTTTATTTATTTTTTTTTATTTTTTAATTGCTATTTTATTAATTTTTGAAGAAAATTTATTTTATTTTAAATTTTATTTATTTTTATTTATTTTTTTATTTAAGTATTTAATTTTTATTTTTTTAATTTTTGATATAAGAGAATTTTTTTGTTAATTTTAATTATTTTGTTTTTTTTAATAGGAGTTAAGTTATTAATTTTTTTAGTTTTTAATTTATTAATTCTCGTTTTTATTTTATTTCAATTTTTATTTTTTTCTGCTTTTTTATGTTTTTTTTTTAAATATTTTGTTGGTGGTGAAAATGATTTGATTTTGGAAGTTGTCATGCCCTTCTTTGATCTTCCATCGGCAACAACATTTGTGGCGTTTTAATAAGTTTTGTCACACATTAGACTGCCGGCTTGTTCGGATGCTGGTGATGGTGGTCCCAGTATTTCGTTTTTTTTTTTTTTTCTTCTCCGTTTTCCATTTCCACCCATCCAGCCAGAGATCAAAGCCCAATTTTATTGCCTCACTTTTCATTAGTCTTTTGACAGCGAAATTATGTCTTTTAATTTGATCGCCTTTTGCTCCTTTTGCTACGCCTTGGCGTGGCCATGTCTGGCGGCTGATTTCTTCTTTTGCTTTAATTGAAATATACGATTTTTGTTGTTGTTGTTGCATTTTTTAATTGTTGGTTTTTCTTTCCATGGCTGCCAAAGTGTCGACTTTTTAATGGAGTAATGAAATTTGTAATGGCTTTCAACGACACAAATGGCAGGCAAAAAGTCATGAATGTGTTGATGGCGTGGACAGAAATATTAGCCGATTTGGAAAATGGTGGGAGGGGAATTTGAAAAAATAAGATCTGGAGGGGAGGAGGCTTTCAAATTGAAAATCTTCTATCCAGCCAAACTGAAAAAAGATTTTTCAACGCAAGCCTCAGTTCTGGTGATGTAGAGCCCCTTTTTTGGAAAGTTCCCTGAATATCCTGAATTAAATTTTTTTATGGAAATTTATTCTTCTCCCCATCCATAATTTCCAAGTTTCCCCCTCTAATGTCTAATTTTCGTGTTCAAAAAAAAAATAAATAAATAAATTTTACCGCCCGCTTTTGCCATAAAAAATTAGACTTCAATTTCAAAGACCCACCACAGATGGCATGGCATGGCATGCCATGGAATATTTATAACTTCCCCCCAAAAAGCCTCCAAGACAAATTTCATTTATTGGCAAAAATAACATTTTTCTTTTTCATTCGACTTTTCTATGCCAAAGAGGCGGTAAATTTTATTTGAATTGATTTTAGCCCACACTTTCAGACACCAAAACGCCACAGACAATGTTCAATACCAAAGAAAAAAATGGAAAAAAAAATTGAAAAGAAAAAAATCCAACTCTCCAACTTACCTCCGTCAATGTTTGCGGCTTATCGATGGCATCCCATTGATCGAATATTGAGTCCAGACCCAACATAAATTCCATCGACTTTCGTGAGCGACGTCGACTGCGCCGTTGCAACTCCTCCTCCGATGGCTTGGCATTGGCCAGCGATTCACAGTAACGAACGAAATCCAAGTCGATGTGGTAGCCATAAGGACAGCAGTTGCAGCTGCGCACATTGGCATATTGTGGTAGATTACCTACAGCAGAGTCCGGAGAAAAATGAAAAAAAACAAAAGGAGGAGGAAAAATACATTAAAAAGGATTATTCAAAGAGAGAAAAAAATATTTTTATGTGCATACATAAATAATAGAATGCAATATGAGTACTGGTGGCCAGGTTTGTGGTCTTCATCATAGCCCAATACAAGGAAAAAAAACCAACATCAAAATAATGGAGGTCATTGCTTGAAATAGGACACTTAACCGTGGCTGCGATGACCACCCAAAGATAATTTTTTTCAAGGACCTTGAGAGGATTTTAAAGAATTTTTGAGGATTTTAAGACTTATAGAAATAGACTTTTACAAGATTTTTCCAAAGACCCTGAGCTCCATAATCGTGGATTTATTTTTAAAGAATTATAAACCTGGATTTTTAAAAAATTATTTTAAACAATGTTCTGCAAGCTCACTAACCTTGTTTTTAAGGATTTTTTTTTCAGAGACCCAAAAACTAGACTTTTTTGGGAATTTTTCAAGGGCCCAGACCCTCACAATCGTGCTTTTTTTATGGAGCCAGAGACCCATAATCGTGGATTTTATTTCTACGATCCAGTGACCAATAAACATGGGGTTTAAAGTTTTTTTTTCCAAGGACCCAAAGACTCATAATTGTGAATTTTCTGAAAGAATTTCTTCCAATGACCTGGAGAACCCTAGAAGTCGATTTTTCAGATTTTATTTTAAGGTCCCAGTGACCCATAAACGTGGGCTTTATAGAATTTTTCTTCAAGCGCTCAGAGTCCCATAAACTTGAGTTTTTAGAGATTTTTTTTATTTTTATTTCAAGGACCCAGAAGCCCGCAAACTTAGATTTTTAAAGAATTTTTTCAAGTGTACAGAGACCCACACATGTGGATTTTTTAAAGGACACAGAGACACAAAATTTTGGGTTTTTTAAACATTTCTTTCAGGGTCCCAAAGAATCCCAAACTTTGATTTTTTAATCTTTTTTTTTTTTGAAGGAATGGGACTTTTTAAAACTTTTTTCCAAGAACCTAAACACCCATATTCATGGATTTTTGAAATAATTGTTTTCAAAAGACCTAAAGAATCATAGACTTTGATTTTTAAAATTCTATTTCAAGGATCCTGTGACCTCTAACAAATGTGAGTTTTTATAGATTTTTTCTTCGAGTGCTCAGAATCTCATGAACTTGGGTTTTTAGGAATTTTTCAAGGATCCAGAGACCAAAACAAAAATTTTTTTGAGGAATTTTTGAAGAGCCCAGACCCCAGAATTGTGATTTTTTTAAAGATTTTTAAGGAGTCATAAACGGGTATTTTTAGTGGATTTTTAAAGCAATTTTTTAAGGACCCAGAAAATTGTTTTCATTGACTTAGACACCTGTATTTTTTGAAGAAGATATTTTAAAGAATTATTTTCCAGGACCCAGAAACTAAAACCAAATTAAACTTGTTTTTTAAAGAATTTTATATTCAAGGACCCAGAGACCCACAAACGAGGACTTTTTTCAAGGAACCAGAGTTTCAAAAACTTTGGTATTCTAAAGAATTTTTTCAAGTACCTTAAATTAAGATTTTTCCACAAACGTGGATTTTTTTTAAAATTTTTTTCAAGGACCCAGAAACCAAAAAGCTGGGATTTTCACAGATTTTTACAAGGATCCTGGACTTCAAAGACATTTTTATTTTCAAGGATCCAAAGACCACAAACGTGGATTTTTTAATTTTTTTTTTTTTTTTTTCAAGGACCCAGAAACCAAAAAGCTTGAATTTTCAAAAATTTTTACAAGGATCCTGGACTTCAAAGAAATTTTAATTTTCAAGGATCCAAAGGCCACAAACGTGGATTTTTTAAAATATTTTTTTCAAGGACCCAGGAACCAAAAAGCTAGGATTTTAAAAAATTTTTACAAGGATCCTGGACTTCAAAGAAATTTTTATTTTCAAGGATCCAGAGGCCACAAACGTGGATTTTTAAAATATTTTTTTTTCAAGGACCCAGAAAGCAAAAAGCTAGGATTTTCAACGATTTTTACAAGGATCCTGGACCTCACAGAAATTTTTATTTTTAAGGACCCACATTTTTCAATTTTTTTTTTTCAAGGACAAGGAGACCCTTTTACTCCGGAACCGCCAAAAAAAATAGATTTTTTAAGAATTATTTTAAGGATCCAGAGACCCATAAACATGTTTTTTAAACATTTTTTCCAACACCCCAGATAAACCCAATGAGTTTTTAAGATTTTTTATGATATCCTTGAAAAAAAGTTCTTAAAAAAGACAAGGTTGCTGGTCTGCAAGCCTTGAAAAAAAGCAAAGACTGAGGATCTGAATTCATAAAAACAAATATGTTAAGTAGACTGATCGCAATATCTGGTAGTCTGATTGCTCTTAAAAAAATCTATAAAATTAATCCACATTTGGTAGTCTAATGGAACTTGAAGAAAATTCTTTAAAAATTAAAAGTTCCTGAAGGTCCTTGAAATAAAACTTAAAAAAATCCACATTTGGCAGCCTTTTTATCTTAGAAACTTCGAAGAAGGCTCTTAAATTAGTTTAAAATCCATATTTAAAGCTACTCAAAATGTGAAGAAATAAACATTTGGTGGTCTAAAGGACCTTTAGAGAAATTATTCAAAAAATCTACATTTGGTGATCTGATGATCCTCAAAATAATTTTAAAAAATCAATCCAATAAATTTTCAAAATATATTGTGCTTCCTTAAAAAAATTATTTAAATCCCGGTCCTTGGAAAAATTTGTAAAAACCCTAGGTTTGGTGGACTTAAAGCCTTTCAAAAAATTCTTCAAAAATCTACGTTAGGTAGTCTAAAAATGCTTGAAAAATTCCTTAAAAAATCTTCCTTGGCTTAAATACATTTAAAAATCTCTGGTCAATTTTATATAAATTATTGGTATTATTATTTAATTTATTTTTGTTATTTTTCAATTATTATTTTTGTCAGCAAAAAATCATTTTTCTTATAATTATTACTTTATTTATGTTATTAATATAGTTAATAATATTATTATTTATAATATTATATTTAAAATTATTATTATTACTTTAAAGTTTTAATTTTTAGTTTCATTGTTACTAATTTTGTTGCTTTTTCTATTTAAAAACATAATAACAAAAATCAAGTTCAATACTCGTTGTTTCCCTTATCACACCAAAGGTATTAAAAATTCAAGGCACATCGAAGACCTTTCTGATTACCTTCTGGGCCATAATAATAATGAGTATTTGGTCACAATGTCTATTTCGATTAACACAAAATTATGTTTTTGCTTATACCATTGTCAAAATTCCGCAAAAAAAAATAGAACATGACATAAAAAAATAATAGCTTACCGAAAACATAAAAAAAATTATATTTGAACAATAAAACGTTGAACATAAAAGGTTGTTGGAGTACAAATATGGAATACAGCTGAACATACAGAACTTAAAAAAAGGTAAAGAAACTGGCACATTCACAAAAAAGAGTGATCGATTTCGTGGGAAATGAAGAGGGAGCTTAATTGTGGAAGCCTCAATGAGGGGTGGGGGAAGTCGAAAATATGATAACCTTTGGGGGAATTATGGTCCAGGTTGCTATTTTTCACATAGTGTCATATACCTCAATTTGAATAAATGTTTTAAAATGTTATTTATTTATTATTATTATTATTTATTTTTTTCTCTTTTTTTTTTTTTTTTTTTTTGAAAACTTACTACATAATTCCGTTATCTCCCGGAATTGCGGTATATCTAAATTAGCTGGTCTCGTTTTTGGACTCCTCTTTGGGCTCGTATTCGATTTCGTTGAATTTTGTTGAGGAAATTTAACATAATACCAGAGTATTAGGATTAGGCTCAGAAACACTTCCAAAAACATTTTCTTAAATTTATTTTTATCAATTATGTTATTAATTTCCAAAATGTGAACTATTTTATCTTTTTCTAAATATTGTATTTTTTCTGAAATGAATATTTTATTTACATTTTTAGATTTTCTTTTTTTATTTCAGTTTTTTTTTTATTTATCATACGTTTCTTTTTTTAAATTTTTTATTTTATTTTATAGAACTTTATTTTCTAATTTTTATTTTTATAAAAAACTAATCGAAAAATATTTTCAATATTTTTTATTTTATTTATTTTTTTTTTGTTTATTTATTTTTATTTTATTTTATTTTTTTGTTATGTAGTCAATTTTTGTTTTATTATGATTATTATTATTTTCATTGTTATCATTATTAATTTATTATTTATTTGTTGTTGTTATAAAATTTTTTATTTATTTTGTACGTATACACTTGTTTAAATTTAATTTATTTATTAATTTTTACTTTTTTTATTTTTTTTATTTTTAAGTTTTCTTAATTTTTTCATTTCTTACTTTTTTATTTCCTTTTAAATTTCTTTACTACTACTATTTTTCTATAATTATTATTATTATTATTATTATTATTATTATTGTTATTATTATTATTATTATTATTATTATTATTATTATTATTATTATTATTATTATTATTATTATTATTATTATTATTATTATTATTATTATTATATTATTATTATTATTATTATTATTATTATTATTATTATTATTATTATTTTATTATTATTATTATTATTATTATTATTATTATTATTATTATTATTATTATTATTATTATTATTATTATTATATTATTATTATTATTATTATTATTATTATTATTATTATATTATTATTATTATTATTATTATTATTATTATTATATTATTATTATTATTATTATTATTATTATTATTATTATTATTATTATTATTATTATTATTATTATTATTATTATTATTATTATTATTATTATTATTATTATTATTATTATTATTATTATTATTATTATTATTATTATTATTATTATTATTATTATTATTATTATTATTATTATTATTATTATTATTATTATTATTATTATTATTATTATTATTATTATTATTATTATATTATTATTATTATTATATTATTATTATTATTATTACTACTATTACTATTACCATTGCAATACCAAGGTTTATTCATTTCAATAAATTAGTATTTTAAAATAGTTGTTTTAATTTAATTAATATTTTTTATTTTCATTTTTTATTATTTTTCATTTTTATACCCTCCACCATTGTAACACCTCGAAATATACATTTTAGACCCCACAAAGTATGTATATTCTTGATCAGCATAAAATTCTATGTCGACTTAGCGATGTCTGTCCATCCGTCTATCCGTCTGTGGAAATCACTATAGCTTTTGAACGAATCGAATCACTCAAATGTATATTATGTCAGCAGGACTTTTAGTATTAAAACTTGGTCATGTAGGTTCATGTTTTGGTATAGCCCCCATGTGACGGTACCTCCATATTTTCGGTATTTTGGTGATTTAAGCGACATTATTCACCGGAATTGTTTCAAATTTGGTATTTGAAGTTCGTAATGGATACTACAGACTATGGCAGAAAATTGTCTGTGCAAGTCCTCGTCTTCGTATAGCCCCCATATAACGGTACTCCCGATATTCGGTATTTTGATGATTTTAGCGACATTATTTACCGAAATTATTTCAAATTTTGTATTTAAAATTCGTAATGAATACTACAGCCTATGACAGAAAATTGTCTGTGTAGGTCCACGCCTTCGTATAGTCCCCATATAACGGTACCTCCCGATATTCGATATTTTGATGATTTAAGTGACATTATTCTCCGGAGTTGTGTCAAATTTGATATTTGAAGTTACAGCCTATGACAGAAAATTGTCTGCGCAGGTCCACGTCTTCATATAGCCCCCATATAACGGTACCTCCCGTAATTCGGTATTTGGATGATGTTAGCGATATTATTCACCGAAATTGCTGCAAATTTGGTACCTGAAGTTCGTAGTGGATACTACAGTCTAAGACAGAAAATTGTCTATGCAGGTCTAGGTCTTCGTATAGGCCCCATATATCAGTACCTCCCTATATTCGGTATTTTGAGTTCAGGTACAATACCCACCGAAATTGTTAGAGATGTCATATTTGAAGTTCGTAACATATGCTACAGCCTATGACAGAAAATTGTCTATACTGGTCCAGGACTTCGTACAGCTACGATATAACGGTACCTTCGTATATACGAAATTTTGATGGTTTTAGCTGCATTATTCACCGTTTATTTCAAGTTTCGAATTTGAATATGGTAATGTCTTATGACAAACAATGCCTATGTAGATCCACGTCGTATAGACCCCATTATAACGGCTATATTCGGTATTTTTAAAATTTAAACAGAATTTTTTAAGGATTTTATTTCTAGAAAATTTCCAAATTCGTTCCAATTTTTTTTTTTTTTTTTTTTTTTTTGAAAATTGCCAAATTCGTTCTAAATGGTGTAGAGTATTCAAAGATCGGCCAGGTTTACAGCTTTTCTACTTGTTTATATTTTTATTTTCAATTTTTTTAAGAAAAAAATAATTTTTCTTGTTTTATTATTTTTTTTATGTTTTGGAGTTTTTTCCATTTTTTCCTTAATTTGTTCATTTCCTTTTTATTTTTCTTTGTAGATGGTTATTTTTTTTATGAAATAATTAATTTTTCATTTTTTTTATATATTTTAATTTTATCCATTTTTAAATTGCTTTAAATTTTTCTTTTTTTTTTTGAAAAAATCCGAAGTTTTTGTTTGTTTTCTTATTTTAATTGACATTCCTCTAACATTACATCTTTTTATTATTCCGAATTTCTATTACCAACTCATATCGTTTCGTTCGAAATTATAATTTTTTTAATATTTTCAAAATTCCTGCATTCTGTTGCAATCTCTCGTGTATAGCCTTCGAATGACAACGGTTAACTGAATTCTTTGGGACTCTCTCTCACCCCCAAACTCTCTGAGACCAACAGACAATGTTTGGTAACAACAAAATTCCGTTGAGATAATATTTAGATTAAAATAATTGTTTTTATCAAACAAACCCCCGAGGCCAGGAAGTTGGGAGCAGGGGGCTGGCACAAGGTAAGACTTTCGATAAGGTCTGCAATAGGTATTTATCTTTGGAAACCCAAAAACAAAAAAACAAAAAAACAAAAAATGAAATGAAAATAAATGAAAATAAAACCGAGGCAAAATATTTATTTACCTTAACAGTTATAAAATTAAGAACGCTTTCGAAATTGAAAGCTCTGCATTTGGAGAAGAAAAATGCTTTTTCGAAATTAAGAATAATTTGCAAAGCTTTTCGAAAAGTTCTTGGGTACACAATGAGAAATTTTGTAAAATATTGGGAACATGTAGAAGGTCTGGGGGCAGCAAAGGTGGATTAAAAAAAATATTTTTTTGAAGGCCCCTTAAAAACTCCAAAGGGGATTTTTAAAAGATGTTCTTTTAGCCATCAAATGTGGGATTTTAAAATAATTTTTCGCAAGGACTACTACACCACAAATAATGGATTTTTTTTAATTTTTTTCATGGACGATATATGAAATTCTTAAGGATTTTTTTGTTTTTTTTGAAATATAAAACATTATAAATTAAAAAATCCTCCAAAATTTATTCGCCAAATGTGAATCAAAAAATATCCAAATTTTTTGAACTCTTGAAAGTATTTTTTTATCCCAAAAATTCCAGATTACTCCCATTACCATAAACCACTCTCTCCTTTCTCTCTTCCTCACGTCACCACTGACTGATCGACCCCCTTTCATTATTTTCCAATATTTGTTTAATTGAAAACAACCGCTACTCGATTTCGCTCCACCCAAAAAAAATATACAAAATTAGGCTGACGAAATTGATTCGATTTCGTTTTCAACCCACACTCGCCACACATTGCTCACCATTCGTCTGACATTAAATTACCATGGCTTTAATGTCCAAAAACAAAAATACTATAATCCCCGTTTTTTTTTTTGGGCAGTGCCAATAACATAAACTACACAGCAAAAACAACAACAACAACACAAGTAAGCACGTTCTTAAATTGCAAACAAACTGACAGACGGACAGAGAGCCAGCCAGCCAGTCAAGCGATTTTCAAAACTCATTTGACAAAACAAATTATCATAAAAACGTTACGAAGTCAGCCAATCAGCCATGTGGGAGGAATGCATTTCAAATTTTTGTTTGGATTTCAAAATTTTATTTTCGTTATTTATTTGGTGATTTGAGTTTGTGTGTGTGTGTGTATGACTGTGTGTGATATGGCAAATCATCAGAAGTGGGCGCATGCGTGTCAGACATATGGTAACATGCCATTAACATTAATCCACAGCAGCTTAACCATGTGCAGTGTGAGTCGGAAAGAGATCCACATTTTTGAATGGGATAACATTGTGTTCGAAATCATCATTTTTTTTTGAGGCGGGTTATTATTCCTTGAAAAAATATCAAAAATATACAGGAAAGCCCCAATGAAAAAATTTTGAAAAATTAAGAAAATGTTCTATGAAGTTTCTTAAAAAAATTGAATCAATGCCTGATGATCAGACCATGCTTGAAAAAATTTTCAAAAAAATCCAACTTCGGTGATCTTAAAAATTTTACATTTTATTAAAAAAAATGAATTAACTGCCTGATACCTTAAAAAATCTTGAAATTTTCTAAGGACTAAGTTTTTAGAAAATCGAAAACTAAAAGAATACGAATAGTACTAAAAATGGAATACTTTGTATTGAGCAAACGGAATGAGCTAGAATTCTGAAATTTGGAATGAGAGACATTTATGAAGTCCAGGATGGATGTACCAAAGGGTTTTTGGAAATTCGAACGTTAAGGTTACGAAAAGTTCTAAAATGTTACCAAACTTCTAAAATGGTACCATTTGGTAATCTATGAAAGGATAAAGGTAACATCTTGAAATTTGGTTTGAGAATCAAGATTGGAAAGTAAGTTTTATATATGTGAAGGTGGTTTTGGGAATGTGTACTAGGTGTGCGAACTGTACCAAATGGTACTAAATTGTAATAATTTGATTTAAGGATGAACA